TCTACACAGGGACATTCCTCAGTTATTTCTACCTGCCTTTCCCATACAAGGTTCCCTATCGGACACACAGAGAGCTCCAGTTACTCAGTATATCCTCCCTGCCCCTGCAAGTAAGGTTTCAGGCTTCACATCATTAATGGGACTTGAGGTAGACATGGAATAAATGTCCCGTGGCCACAAAGGCCCATGCCAGAAACATCCCAGGCACTAGGCAAACATCAACACCCCTGTTCCAAGTACACAAACAAAAGGACCAAAAGAAACAGTGCCTCACCTTCCTCTGAGTGTCAGGAGATGCAGTAATGGAGAAGGGGGGGAAACAAAGAGTACATTGATTAGATATAACAGTTCAACAAAAATGTCATTTCTTAAGTAAGACAGACAGCTCCCTGCTTAGCTGTATCCTCTGGGATCAGCTTCACAAGTAGGGTGCAGATAAATGCAGCCATCTGGCCCCTTTACCTGGTGAAACCCTCATCCTGTAGGTTCAGTACCAAGTTATCTGCTGTGAGATAGACACGGTTTTGTGAGGCAGCAATCTGAAAAAGAAATCCATGGCAGAGATGGCACAAAGAGTATAAATGCACATGCAACACTAATCAAGAACTTCTCCTCCCCTCTAGATACAGCAGTTGATTTACTCACTTGAGACCTCAGTTAAATCAATGCAATTCGCCAAAACAACTCTGGACTTTATCCCAGTGCCATCAGACTTTCTGAAAGAAGTGCTCATTCTGTCTCTCTGTCAGAAAGACCTTTGATCCCACACTTATTTGTTCCCTTTTCTCAGCCTGCAGGAAACCAGGAGCTTTTGGTGGCTGCAGCTGAGGGTGGGTGATGGAATCTGATGTGGATCTGGCCTTGTCATACGGAGGGCGTGAGCTCCTGGCCTCACCTCTAACTGCCGATCATTGCAAGCTAAATCTTAAGGTCTACTTGAGCAGAGAAGGGTTGCACAGGAACAGAGATCAGGACAGGGCAGGTCACATTCGCCTTAAATTCATCATGTGGCCACTGGGCTGAGCGAACAGCTTCGGGACTTGCAAAAGGACAAAGGGAATTCCATGCTCACCGTTTTTGAGATGTTTTGAGCAGCTCGGATCTTACGTAGCTTGATGTAGCCTGGATTCCTGCTGAGAGCTTCCCCCAGGTACAGCAGAGCCAAAGTTAAGGAAAATCCTAACAAAAGCCACATACCCTCAAGGAATTCTTCCTAGAGACATCTTAGGGTGGAAAGTAATCTCCATCTAACACAGACCTCCGGGCAGGCATATTTCTACTTCTCTAAATCAATAACAACATTATGGATTACGGTCACACACAGCCAATAGAAGCTAAACCTTACAACAGGGAGAAGGCTCATGGCCTTCTCTGGTCTGACCTGTAAGCTCAGACAAATCAAACTCCAGCCAGCTGTGGGGTGAGGATGATAAATTGTGACCTACTTGAAGCTATCATCTTGTAACAGTCTCCTAAGCATGGACCCGATGTGACAGACTGTGTCAAGCTCATAAGCCACATCCCACAAAATCTCCCAAAGCAGGATATCATCTTGGCAGCTGTAGCTTCCCCTTCAGCTTGAACAATCTTCTGCTTCTGCTCCTGCTTGGCCTTCTCCACCAGAAACTGTGCACGCTGTGCCTCCTGCTGGGCTGCAAAGAGAATGGCCAAAAACACTGGAAATGGATTCCATCTTTGGAACCCTTCACCAGAACTGGAACCCTGGAGCCGAGGCCTGGGGGCTCTGCTTCCAGAAGCACTGATGGCATTCTGGGGCCAGATCTGCAACTGTGAAATGCATTTGAGTGTCCTTTAGTTTTTTTCTTAGATAAAGTCAGAAGCATCCAGACCCTCTACACATAATCCCCACAGTAAGTGGTGAGTCCCAGTTTGAAGAGGAAGCCTGGTCTTGGGAGCTCGGTCCCTCTGATGGTCTACCCCACTGGCTATAGCCCAGAGTTTTCTGACAGCATTTATAAAAGAGGCCGGGATTGATCATTCTGTAGCTGTATCAATGCAGAAGCAGAGACATGCCAGCCCAAATTCTGATTCCTTTAGCCCAAATTCTGCTTCCTTGTTCACCAGTTCAGAGGAAGGGCAAAGGCAGCACTCCACTCTTTTCAGGCATAAATGGAACTCACCCACTTGCTTAGCTTCCACAGCTGCTGTGTATTCACGACTGAAACTAAGCTCTGTGATAGCCACATCATCCAGGATGAGGCTGAAGTCTTTGGCTCTCTCTGTCAGTTCTCGCCTAATGAGCAGAGACACCTGAAAGACAAATACAGCAAGAAGAGTACAAATACAGCAGGAAGAGTACAAACACAGGCTACTTCACCCTCCTGTGCACCCCACAAGTGAAGCACAACTGCTCCTCACAGCTCATTCACAGAGAGAGACATTACCTAGAACAAACCCTGAACCATGGCCATTTATCATTAATATCATCTCTGAATCTGTCGCTGCATAGCCAAAGCTATGTATCCAAAAGTATATCACATCTTATTTACAGTTATTATTAACTATACAGTTCATATTGAAAAAATAAATCTTCTGGTTTGGGTTTGTTTTTTGCTTTCACATCCTACCACATCTAGTTCCACAGTTTCCACGTTTCATGTTTTGGCAACAAGTATTTCCTTGTCCACCTTGCATTTGCCACTGTTGGCAGTTCGACTGTCTCCTCACATCTGTATTCAGATGCAGGGGAAAAAAACCCCACATAATTTTTTGTTAACTATGTATCACATCTCTCTTCATTACTGTAGCGACCCCTCCAGTGTGGGTACTCCACTTGTATCAGTCTCTTTGGAAGAGTGTTGTTGGTAGGTATTTTTGACTGGTTCTACCTTTAACTTGTCAGCATCTATCTCAGGCAGGCTGACAAGTCCTGCACCAAATACTGACTTCAATAAAAGTAGCTGCTGCAGTATCACATGCTGGGCCAGCCTAGTATCTGCTTTTACTTCTGCTGCAGCTGTTTCTGAGCACAGCTCTAAAATGCTGCCAGAAACCTTCACTGTGTGAGCCCCAAGTGCATAACTGTAAAGTCAATACCCATGGGCCACAATATCCATCACTTCACATTAACAAATGAACAAATAACTTCACATTAACAAATGAACATATGACAAGGTTGCACTCAATTCAGTTTGTTCAGAAGTTTCAGATACTTAACAGTTGTCATTGCTTCTGATAAACCTAAATCCCCTGCAGACAAAGCAGTCACATTCCCCCTTTCCACTCATTCTCTTTATACAACTGTTAACAAATCATTTCAGCACATAGCATGTGGCCTAGCACAAAACCCTGGAGTCCCTGCTATAGAACAGTTCTCACAACAAGACCTGGACACTTAGTTCTCCTCTTTTTGTAACTAGTTAAGAGATGCTTCATATTTCAACTGACAACTTATCCTCTTTAGCAGTCTCATGCAGGGTCTCCTCTAAGGCCTTTTAAAGGAAGACCATTAACTTCTCTCTCCCTCAGCTGCGACAGGTGATGAATATTCTCAGAATCCCTGGCAATCAAATTATGAGAACACAAACTTTCAGATACAGGCTTTTTTAAAGCTAAATATTTCTATTTTGCAACCTGTCCCCAGGCTACCCTCTAACCTTTTCCTAACTAGAAATATTTGTTGCCCTTCTGTACCACCCATTACAGAAAAGTTACTGCTTTGTTAACTGCTCATCCACTTCACTTTCCAGGTCCTTTAAAACTGATACGCTCTGACAGCTCTTCCAAGACCCATGAAAAGCCAGGTAATACTTTTTTTTAAGGCAGATCTACTTTTATGTGTGGATTATGATGTAAATCAGCTCTCCCTCCCCCATTACATTATAGTGCAGTTCTGCACTCCATATACCAACAAATCCAGTTTTCCTCTCAGAAGCTTTAGTGTTTGCATCTGTACTGGAATCAAAACTCCAAGTGGGATACAGTTCCATGCCTTTTTCATTTAAATACACCACCTACCAACCTAACACGTTTATCCCTTATATAAGGTTCCCCAGATGCACAGCTGTTTCTTTGCCTTTTGAGTGCAAGTTTACCTGGGCTCTCTGAGTGATGAGCTGTGAAGCATTAAACTTGGCCACCACGCTCTTGAGCACCTCGTTAACGATGGAAGGCAGGACCCGCTCCTCGTAGTCCAGCCCCAGGCGCTGGTACATGCTGGGCAGCTCCGCAGCGTTGGGACGGGTGAGGACACGCAGCGAGATGTTCACCATCTGCAAGTCTGAAGATGGGGGGAGATGAGCGCTGCCGGCGCCGCAGCCGGGCTCCTGCCCGCTCTCCCCGGTCCCCGTGCTTGCCCGCGGGGCCCGCTCTCACCTTTGGAGCCGGTGGGGGAGGAGATCTTCCGCGGCCGGGCCCGAATGTCGTAGATGATGGGATACTGGAACCAGGGGATCCTGCGAGGGGCGGGAGGCGTGTCACGGCGCGGGCACCCATCGGGGCCGGGCCCGCGGGCCCGCGCTCGGGGCGGGGGAGCCGGGCCCTACCTGAAGTGCAGCCCCTCGGCGAGGATGGTGTCCTGCTGCACGCCGCCGATCCGGTTGAAGAAGATGGCCCGCTGGCCGCCTTCCACTGCGGAGAGAGGGGGGAGAGGCACGGATGAGCGCGGAAGGCGGGTTACCGGGAGCGGGGGCAGTGGGGCACGACTCACCGATGAACACGGACTCTCGCACGCCATAGGCCAGGGCGCCGGCGCCCAGCAGCAGCTTGAGCGCGGTACCGACGCCGCGCGGCCCGGCCGGCAACCGCCCCGCCAGGTCCTTCAGGTTCTGCGCCATGGCCGCGCCGCGCCGCGCGCCCCACCGGGAAGGACACCGGAAGCTGCCGTCGAACAAGGCGCTCCGGTGAGGAAACAGCCTCGTTCCGTCCCGCCGCCGCCTTGCGGAGAGACTGCTCCACGCCCTGGAAGTGCGTCCGGCCGGAGCCATATTAGGGGCGCGCCCCCGGAGCCATCTTGGGTGGGCGGCCTGAGGGCGGGGCTGGCGCGGTGCGCTTGGTGCCGCGCATGCGGCTGTGACAAGATGGCAGCGCCTCGGCGGCAGCGTGAGGAGGAGGACGGGGAGGGAGCGGTGCCCGCAGATGTTTCGCTGGAGGCGAAGCGGCCCCGCGGGCAGCGGCGGCTCCTGGTGGTGCTGGAGGGGGCGAGTCTGGAGACTGTGAAGGTGCGGGAGGAGGGAGGGGTGTGTGTGTGTCTGGCCGGGCCGAAGGCGGCTGCGGTAGCCTTTGCCCACCTGTCCGTGGTCGGCCGTAGGTGGGGAAAACGTTCGAGCTCCTTAACTGCGACAAGCACAAGGCGCTGCTGCTGCGGAACGGCCGGGACCCCGCGGAGGTGCGGCCGGACATCACCCACCAGGTACCGGGGTTTGGTGGCCGGGGCTGCCCTTCAGGTGTGCGGGTCTGCGTGTGCCTCTGAACGGGGCAAGTTTGGTCCTGCCCGCTGCGCTTTGTGGCTTGTGCGTTTAGTGTGTGGTTGGGAATGGGATTGCTTTCGGTTAGCGTTACGCAGCCAAATGAACTTATTTCTGCTTCAGCGTAAGTTCTTTCTGCACTCGTGGGGCATAACTCTGAACTTTTCCAAAAGTCATCTCCCATGTGCCTTGTCTGTTTCCACTACTGTGTGTTTTTGTCCTTCAGAGTCTCCTGATGCTTATGGACAGCCCACTGAATCGGGCTGGTCTCCTGCAGGTTTACATCCATACCCAGAAGAATGTTCTAATTGAAATCAATCCCCAAACCAGAATCCCGAGAACTTTTGATCGGTTCTGTGGTCTTATGGGTAAGCGATGCAAACTTCGCACCAGCCAGAGGGTAATGCGGGAAGGTGCTTAGGAGTGCAGGAACGTTGGGAAGAGGCGCACAGTTGGACCAACCTTAAACATGTGAAAGTGAGAAAAGAGCCAAGAAACCAAAGTGTCTTTTTGTGAGTTCCATGTCCAACTGTGTGTTCCTTAGCACAGGGGGGAGCGCCTGCAGGAGACTGAGCTAGCAGCAAAGTGACTGATTAGTATTCTTTTGGACTGTTTTAGATGATACTTTAAAGGGAACGCTAAAGATGGACTTTTGTCTGCTTCAGCTCTAGGCAGAGGATAGGGTTCCTCCAGCAAAACAACAGACAGCTTAAGTCATTTTCTTCTTTTGCCAGTTCAGTTGCTGCACAAGCTCAGCGTTCGAGCAGCTGATGGGCCTCAGAAACTGTTGAAGGTAAACACTCTGACAGCTCATGTTGGGCTTGCTTTGTACAAGCAGTGGCGTTAGCTATGCGGCAGGGTATCTTACCTCTGCACCTCTAGTAACCTTCTGCTTTCTGCAGGTGATTAAAAACCCAGTCAGTGACCATCTCCCTGTGGGCTGCCTGAAGCTAGGTACCTCTTTTGCAGTCCCAAAAGTGTCAGATCTGCGTGAACTGGTTCCTACAGCAGAGCCAGTTGCCATTGTTGTTGGAGCTTTTGCTCATGGTTCGGTAAGTGCATGCATCCCTTATTTAGAGCTGTAAGACCCTTTAACAGCATAGATTTCACTCTTGTTCTGAGTATGGGTTGTTTTACTTCTGCTCTTTTTTTGGCTTGGTCTCCCTTGTCCACCCACCCTCCCCAACCCAATGCTGTAACACTTGGTACTTCTCTCCCTCCCAAGGAGCTAGTGAGGGCTGGCAGCTGTCCTGCAGGAATACTGTGCCTCCCCAGCCAATGGCGATAGATAGATGTGACTAAGTGAAAACTTGCAGCCTGATACTTTGCGGCTTCTTTTCTTTCTCTCTCTTCCCCAGGTCAATGTTGACTATACAGAAAAGATGGTTTCCATCAGCAATTATCCCCTCTCTGCTGCCCTGACGTGTGCTAAAATTACCACTGCCTTTGAAGAAGTCTGGGGAATAGTATGAGTTTCTGCTGCTGCTGTGGTGGACTTCTGTGCAGTGACTCCATATTCTGGAAAGGCTCTTTCAATTAGGGATGGACCTGGTGCAACTTTGGGCTCTTTGAAGGGAAAAGGCATCAGTTTCTCCTTGTAGCTTCTGGAGCAATGAGACTGAACGGACTGCCCTACTCACCCTTTTTCCTCCTATTAAAGGCCATTTTTTATAAGAGTGCTCGTGTATTTTACTTTTTCATGTTTCATACATGGGTAGGCTCGATCCCTTTATAGCAGGAACTCTGCCCAAATCTGTCATGGAAATGAAATTCTCAGCTGCACCCTGGTTGCCGTGCAGGTGGTGTTGCTCAGTCCTGTAGAATCCCCGTAGTTGGTGGTGTGTGACAGTTCACATTCCCCCACCGAGGCACCCAACAGGAAAGGAGCTGAAGCCCATATGAAAAAAGACCAGGAGCAATTTTTATCTTGGATGACAAAACGTAGAAAAGTCAGAAGAAGGTGGCTCCAATCCAATACAGTGCCTGCCTTGAATGTTTTACAATCATCGGGTATCAGCAGAGAGACACGAGTGTCCATCGGAGGGCGGCAGAGAGATAAGGCAACATACAGAAGGTGGAGGATGTGGAAGGAGGTTGGCTCCATTCCCCTCCTTTTGGGTCTCTGACCCTGTGCTTTCTCTTTCCCCCTCCTCACGTTGAAAAGAAGTCATACTTCAACACAGCAAACTTGGCAGGTGATGCTTTGCTTCCGGAGTGTTCAGTAACTCCTACAAATGCACAGGTGGTACAATCTGCAAAAGAGAAAAGTGCTAGATTTGGTTTGCTTGATTTTTCAGCTTTGCCTTTCACCTTGGCCTGTAACATTGCTGCCCTACTTCATCTCCCAGCCCAGGCGTGGGCATGTCTCTGCCTAGGACAGCCTTACCTTTTGGCTGTTACTCTGCTTTTTTTAGCTTTTCTTTTCGTGGCACCAGTAGTCTGCGAATGTAAGGCAACACCAGTAATAAGATGAAGAGCGACACGTGGCCGAAGAAATAAATAGACTTGTACACCTGGAAAGAGAAAGGCAGGGTTAAGGACCAGCAAGCAGCTCTGAGCCAGGAACATCTGAGACAGGTTGGAGGAAAAAGGGTTGGTTGCACGTGTTGTCTGTTTGTGGCTACTAAATACCTTAATCCATTTGTCCCAGGTGAAAAGGCAAAATGGCACCAGAGAGTAACTCAGAAACAGCCAGTGGTTAGCTTGCTGCAGCACGTAGAAGATGGGCCGCAAGACAGTGATAGAGGTCAAAGTGCTGAGGGTGGGACTGTCCTGTATAAGCTTTATGATCTAATTTAGAGAAAAGCAACAAAATTCTTGTCAGTTGAATGTCCTGTGCCTGTACATGCATACTCTGGGGCCAATATTATCTATTCAGCTGTGTAAAATGGATTTCAGTGAGCAGTTAGTCTAAAAAAGTAGCTGCTCAACCCTCTCCAAACAATAGTTCAAGTATTGTTCTCTCAGTACTGGGACATTTAGCAGAGGCATTCAGCTCATGTCCTCCAACCTTTCCAGCTGCCAAGCACTTCAGCTGCCCTCTACCCATATGCCAACTTCTTCCCTTCCTTTCAGCTTCTGCAACAAATGTATGGCTTACCCATGCAGAAGCCACCTACTGAACTCTCTGTAGAGAACAGAACCATCTCGTGCTTGAAAACCAATCCCAAAGTGAGCAGCTATTTTTCCTGGTTTTACTCCAAGTAAAGCCTTCGGCGTGGCAGTTCCCAGCTCACAGGGAAAGTCTCCTGCAGGCCACCCAATCCTGGTCAATCAGACAAAGCCCACCTGTCTTTCAATGATGACTATCAGCAGCTCCATCTGGAAGCACACCAGGTAGCCAGAGTGCAGCCCGTGCCAAATGGCCAGGAAGAACAGGGCCAGTGCCTGTGACAGCAGTTTGTTACCCAGGAACTTCAGACGCTTGAAGATGTAGCTAGAGTGGAAAAGAAACAAAGTGCTTCTGGTTTATTGTCTACCCTCCCCTCCCCATGTCAAGGATGCAGGGCCCAGGGGGCTGTACACCTTTGCACACCCTGTGGTGACAGAAAGAACAAGGCAGCTCCCCGTACCAGGGCAAAATGTACAGCAGCCCTTGCCTTAAAGAAATCCCAGTTCCTGGGGAGAAGTGGTTCATCCCACAATGCACCCAGAAATGAGATCTTACACTTCAGTTGTGTGTCCCGCAAGTGCTGAAACAAAACCTGGTCAAGTCGTTGCTTAAGGGAGCATCCCAAGGATACAGGATCCAGCTGGTAGAGGCAGCTCTATGGCACTTTGACCAGGCAGGCACAAGGGCTCGCTATATTCAGTCTGCCCTCCTGCTGCAGTCAACTGCTTGACTGTTATTAATGAACTGCCCTTTTAGACTGAATGAAAAGATCTAACCCGGTAAGCTGTTCCAAATGGCACAGCAGCAAAACATGGAAGAAAGAGTGGAAGAAAGGAAAACTGGCAGGTTCTTCCCCTAATGCTCCCTCTCAGCGTAGGATCTTGGTTCTGTTGACACAGCTGTTACCAAACCAGGCTAGAATGGGAATTTTGTCCTGCTCACCGGGCCACCCAAGTATTGGTGTTGATGTTGAAAGAAGCAATGGTCCCTGTGAATAAGGGTGTTGTCTCATACAGCCAGACCTTCATGTTGGCACAGGCATTCCACAAAGGCTTTCCATTCTGGTCCTTCCCATTGTACCCCAGACCAACAAGGATGCAGACACCTTCCTATGGAAAAAGATTCAAAAAGAAGGAAAACATTGTTCCCCCTCCTTTTTTAGTTTGTTTTGAAAGGCAGAGCTGGGCAGGCTCTGACTCTCACTGTGGTGAGTGGAGAGCACCACTGCAGATGGAACAAATGGTTGAAAAACTGCCTGCTTTTTAGTTTGCTTGCCTTTGCTAACTTAGAGCAAGCAAACTGACCTGCACTGATCTCCAGATACTTGGGCTATTTCCATTAGGGCTAAGTCCAAGAGCATACTAATTAGCTGCAAAAGTGTGACCTTTGTTCATTTGTCTTTTGTCTCTGGAACAACATCTAGACTCACCGTCACAAGCCAGCAAGTTACGTATTTGTAGAGTATAATTTTGCCCCAGATCAACATGTAAGCACATCGGAACCAGAAAGGCTTCTCCTGCAGAGGTGAGAGTGAAACAGAATCAAAATGAAAAATGGAGCCAAATGGCAATAACAAGACAGAGTAGATGAGATCTCTTCACTCTGTTTTAATTTGATGCGTGTGTTGAGACTGCTCTATGGACTTGGCTGCTAGGCTATGGGTTTATGCAAGTTCACACATCATTCTCCTTCCTTTGGTAACACTTGGCTGTACTGAAATAGGTACTTTGGGAAGATTCTGGGGTTACCATTAATCACTGCAGAATTCATACCTTCATTTATTCAGACTGACACAAAACCACTGATAATCTGGAGGTAGGAATGACTTGTTAAGAGTCTTCTAAGAATGTCAAAGACTGGTAAGCCTTGCAAGTTACTCTAGTGAAGTTATTTGCATGTAATGGTTAAATGGAAGATCATTAGAAGGTCACAAAATGCGTAAGGTTTCAAGAACAACAGTAGCATCTAAGATTTGTTTTCAGTTCAACACATTCCTGTCCTGCATCAAATGGAATCCAGAGGACAAGCAGTAAAGCCAAATCAGTTGTGGAAAGGCTTATCACTAGTTGATGACTTACCTTATTCTTAAATTGAAGCAAAACTAAGAAAAAAAACCCACTCTTGTAGATCCAATGCCCACAAGAGAAGCAGAATTCTTCCACACCCCAGTACTGCCAAATGAATACATACCATATAATCATCTGAGGTGAGGTATTCGTCAGAGATGTACTGGCTTGACAAGGTATATATTACTAGAAACAAGAGACCCAAACTCAGGCGCTTCAGAGCGGGCACAAAACTGAGAAAGAAAAATATGAAGGTCAAAAAAGAAAGCGATGGAAGGCAACCATCATAATTTGAAGAACAGAAGTGGAGCAGTTAGGGGAGATAGCGATAAGGGAGTCACCGTGTTCCACTGCAGCAAATGACTTCATTTGGAAGCTGGGATGCTAACATTGGCAGGTTGGGACCGAGTCTGTACTAAACATGTCAAACGGTTGGTTGACGTTCATGTCCTGGAACAATGCGAGGACATTAACCAGATTGTTATGAGCAACTTTTGAAAGACAGCCTTGTCTTAGAAATCACTTTTGATCACAGTACTTTAGTCTCCAGGTAAGAAGGCACTCTGCTGCAGGGAACATGTGGAGGATTCAGCATTCTGGGATCTTAGGAAGGTGAGGAGCTAAGTGGCTTTGTATTACCTATTGGGTCTCTGGCCTTGAACGTCAGTCATCTCACCCCTTGCCAGTTTCTGATAGTCTGTCATGGAGAACTGAGGCCCCACCATGAAGGCACCATAGAAATAGGAGAATCCCGAGACCTCCAGCAAGGTAGGAACTCCCCGGACAGCAAATTGCCGCTGCTCAGGGGTCAGGAACTCCTGCACCAAAGGGAGTGGCATTAACATCATCCTAGGGGATCTCATACTAACTCTGGATGTTAGGCTCTCAGCCTACCTCCTCAATGGTTTCAGTTCTTGCCCTCCATATATATATATATAACTTTCCACTTCGTACTTCACAACCATCCCTGTCCCCAGCCCTCTCTATCCCCACCCCCTCTAAATAGCAACGAGATCCAATGGTTGACAGCAGTTGCACAGATCTCTCTTCCTAAATAAGCTCAAAACATGGAAGGGATCTATTGACATGCATCCCTGCCAGCATGCTAAGCATTGTAAAAGCACTCTATCTGACCTATTCCAGTTCCTGACTGCAATTGCATGTATTCTCCAAAGACCTTATTGTCCTACAATTCCTACTTCTTGATGCAAGAATTCATTGTATTTAAATACTTGAAACTTCAGTTTAGGAAATTTCAGCTCAAGCTTGTTTTCTTGCAGTCAATAGCGATTCCATGGATGCTAAAATCTTGGTCAGGCCCCAACAGGAGATGAGGAATGCAGATACTTGAAGCAGGATTAAGGGACTGTAGTAAGTGTTCTGCTCTCTCCCTCACATTGTGCTTCTTCCCTCACTGCTTCATCAGCTCTAAAAACAGGGCCCTAACAAATGGTAAAGGGCAAGGATATAGTAAGGCTAAACAAAGGCAAGGAAGATG